GTGTGTAACTCACTTAATCATAAACTCTAAGTGTGTAATAATTAATTTAATTATTTACATAGTTTTGAACAAATTTTGAATATTGTTTTTAACGCATGTTCATGTAACAAGTCATGTAACAAGTCATGGTTTTTTATCGACTTTTGTACATCGACACAAACGTTGCGTGATTCGATGTGGAACGGAAACATAGCATGTGAGACATGTAGCTTTAGCTAGATTAATGTATTCGTGATTTCTATTACCAAATGTGCCATAAATGGATTTACAATGCTATATGACAATCATCGTTAACGTGATTGTGTCAGTGCTTTGTCACAATTCTAATCTCTGGTTTTTTATCACGTCGGCACATACAATAATATATGTCTTTATTACAGAACCTTATTTGACGAATGTAAAAAGAAAAAGAATCGAAAAATACAATACAGAATGCATCGGCGCAGTACGCCGGCAATCATTAGAGCGTTGTACCGCGCGAAACCGCTCTATTCTTCAAAATAATTTTACCAAAAACAGCCAGTTTATTTACAATAATATTTTTTATTATGAAAAAACCAATAGCAACAGTAAGAACGCCTTTCCAAAATCTAAAATTCTTAATAATTCTCAATAAATTATTGGGTTTACTTTCGTGCAAATTAGTGAACGGACGATTTAAAGAAAGCAGTGTTTGGGGTCGCGGTTACTGTGCACTTTGGTTATTATTTCATTGCGCGTATTCCAGCTATTTTTATTACACGATGTACATGGCAACACCTGCTGAAAAAGCTGAGAAGCTCTTTGCGCTCGGTATCGTACGGTTTAGTGCGTTTTTCATCTCGTTGCTTCCTTACAATTACTTAGGAGTCTTTCGAAGCCAAGATTTTATTATGGTAAATATGTTCCTAATTATAGATTGTTTTAAATATATTGCTATAGATGTAATTAAATATATTTTAAAAATATATAATCTTTGTTTAAGATAATTAGCATAGAGCTTTAGATTAAATAATATGCAGTTTCGAATAATCGATTGTTATCAATCTTGCTGCAGTTTTCCGAAAAACTTGAAGCTTATGACGATAAGGCAACAGCATTAGGGCATCAAAGGAAAGATAAACACATTTTCACGTGGCTGTATTTTGCGTACACATTTAGCACAATATTCATAAAGACGTATAACATATTGAATAGCAGTATACCTGAAGGAAGGGAAATGATAGTTACGCAGACGTTCGAAACCGTCATTCCTACTATCTGTGGCACCTACTGCGTTTTCATAAGCGCGATATTCCTGGATTTGATTCGCCAACGTTTCCGTCATCTGAACGAGGTGATAGTTCCTTACGTTTCGGAGTTGCCAGTAACCGGATTGAAGGGCGAAATCACAGTTTACGATGTGCGCTATCTGCACGGTGTGCTCATCGACAGCGCAGGACTGATAAATAGGATGTACGGGATAGGCACCTTACTCACCTTCGGATCCATATTGCTGGAATTCATTTCTGTTATATATTTATTCATAACAGATGTCCAGGACAATGCGACAGTGATATTGCTAGACTTACTCTTTCAAACTATTTACCTGTTTGCGATGTATCACTGCGCAACTTACGAGGTACAATAGAAAATTTTATTATAATATTGTTATAAAATTATTTCGATAGAATATGTGCACTAATATAGCTTTTGATGAAGGTTCTATTTGAAGAAAGAATTTTTTTATGTAGCTTTATGTATTATTACTCCAGGCGAATCGCGTTGAAGAGCGTGTGCTGAAATATGGATTATCCTTCAAAAATTCCAAATGTCGTATGGTAAGCTATAAATTTTAGCCACAATCGTAAATCATTTAACAAAATTAACTGGTTTCAGGATAAAATTGAGATGATGTTATATTTTTATCATAACAGATTTACTTTCACGGCAGCGGAATTTTTCATAATAGATTTAACGATACTTCTTCCGGTAAGTCGATTTATTCTATTACTGAAATATTATTACTTAAATATAATTTCATCAATCCTCATTGTTTCAGATTGCTTCCACGGTATCAACATATTTAACTTTAATAATAAATTAAATCCTGTAATAAGTAGTCCAAAGATTAATAATAAATTATATGCTGTAATAAGTAATCCAAAAAATTTACCGAAAGGTATCGTAAAAACTGAATGTCGTATAAAGACAATGTAACAAACTGTTACCTGTGGAAAGGTTCAAGTTAGGTGTGATCGGGCCGCGACAGTCAAAATTACTCGCCGGTCAGGTATAGAGAAAATGACCGTGCGAGGCAAACGATTTCTTTTGGCTAGAAACAGGTAAACCGTAAGGGTTGCTATTATTCTGCTTTCTGTGCCAATCGTTCGAGGTTCCTTTTTCTGGTCACGATAACTTCTTTTATTAAGGGCGCAACTGTGTGCGATTTTCAAGGGAGAAGTGAAATACTTTCATGGATATCTTCATGGTAGAAAATCAAAGATCTAACGAATAAAAATCGATAGATTCTTCGGTGAAGAAGGAAGAAGGTTGAGGGTTGTTCCAAGGTGGAAGGGAGTAAAAATTTCGGTGAATAGGAGATAGGATGCTCGGTGGTAGTTAAATATTTATTGACTAATCGAGAACTTTCCGATTGTTTGTCCCAAACGTGACTGTCGGAGAAAATCCAAAGAAATATTTTTATCAGAGTGATACTGCGGTTCGTCTATCTTTTAGTTTAAAGAAATTTCCTGAGCAAAGGTAATTTTTTCAGAAATAAAAAATTTACTTTCTTTTTTTATAGTTTTATTATCGCAACCTTTTGAAATCTTTATCTAATCGCTGAATAAATTTTGTTTATCTTGCCCAAATATTAAGGCGGTATTAGGATCTAATTTCAAGGATTAGACAAGTACGTGTGTGTTTGATTTTTGGAAAAAAAGTTTTCGATTTAGAGATATTTTTATATATCTTAATTCCAGGGTCTTATTTGAGGTATTAGATAACTATATACACGTTCGGTTTTATTATCGGGAAATTTTCCAAGGAATTTTTATTTATTTTAATCCCAGAGTGCAATTTCCGTAATTTTCTTTGAATTTTGCCAGCTATTCGTGGGAAAGTCGCAAAGGAAAGATCGTGCAGGACGCAATAATGTAAAATTCACGAAAAATTTGTGATATTGTAATTATGCCTAATCGAATTAAAATAAAAGTGTGATCGCTTTTTACAAAATTAAGATAAAAATGTCAAAAACTTTTGATACAATTAGTACAATGTTTAGATTTTTTAATAAAATTTTACAATTTATAGTTATTCTTTTTGTAAATATTGCACATGTGTATTGATTTTGTTTTTCTCAGAATAAATACATTTCTGACAATATCTAACAACTTGGTTTACCGTTTTTTACTCTAACCGCAATATTCATTAAAGAATGTTAACGCGCAGCAAATTTTACAAGTCACGCAAAGTTCTATATGCTGTATGAAACTTCCACAGTTGTCTTTGATAGTCAAAGTAGATAGATTAAAAGAAAATTGCGCGAATTACACACTCTTTATCTTTTGTAAAAAATTTTTTAACTTTTAAATTTATTATTTAAATAAAGCAAAACTGCTAAGAGTAGGAAATTATAAAAATCATCGGTATATCAGAGTGGACATGGGTTGATTATAGATTATTATTTACTCTTTCAGATTATCGCGACAATAACCACTTATTTTATAATAATCACATGTATTTAAGTGAAATAAATTAATGTATTACATATTTTCGTAAAACAAATGTTATTATTTTAATAAAGATAATTTTCGCACATATTATACTGAATGTACAAATATGTAACTTATTTAATCATAAATTCTGAATGTGTAATAATTAATTTAATCATTAACATAGTTTTGAAGAAGTTTTGAACATTGTTTTTAACGCATGTCCGTGTGTAACAAGTCATGTAACAAGTTATGGTTTTTTATCGACTTTCTACGTCGTCAAGAACGTTGCGTGATTTGATGTGGAACGGAAACATGGCATGCGAGACATGTATCTTTAGCTACATTAATGTATTCGTGATTTTTATTACCAAATGTGTCATAAATGGATTTACAATGTTATACGACAATCATCGTTAACGTAATTGTGTCAGTGCTTTGTCACAATTCTAATCTCTGATCTTCTATCATGTCGGTGCATACGATAATATATGTGTGTGTATTACAGCAGACCGCAATTTAATGGAACGTAAAAAGAAAAAAAGAAAAGAAAGTAAAAAGAAAAAAAATCGAAGGGTATAATTTATACAGAATTCAACTGCGCCGGTAATCATTAGAGCGCTGTATCGCGAATCCGCTCTACCCTTAAAAATAATTTATCGAAAACAGCTAGTTTATTTAATAACATTTTGTATCATGACAAAATCAATAGCAACAGGGCCTTTCCAAAATCTAAAATTTGTCATAATACTCAATAAATTACTGGGTTTACTTTCGTGCAAATTAGTGAACGGACGATTTAAAGAAAACAGTGTTTGGCATCGCGGTTACTGTGCACTTTGGTTATTATTTCATTGCCTGTATTCAGTCTATTTCTATCTCACGATGTACACGGCAAAAGCTGAAGAGCTCTTCATACTCGCTATCGTGCGGTATAGTGCGTATATCTTCTCGTTACTTCCTTACAATTACTTAGGAGCCTTTCGGAGTCAAGATTTTATCACGGTAAATATGTTCCTAACTAAAGATTGTTTTAAATATATTGCTATAGATGTAATTAAATATATTTAAAAAATATGTAAACTTTGTTTAAGATAATTAGCATAGAGCTTTAGATTAAATAATATGCAGTTTCGAATAATCGATTGTTATCAATCTTGCTGCAGTTTTCCGAAAAACTTGAGGCTTATGATGATAAGGCAACAACATTAGGGCATCAAAGGAAAGATAAACACATTTTCACGTGGCTGTATTTTGCGTACACACTTAGCACATTATTTTCGAAGACGTATATCATAATGAATAACAGTATACCTCAAGGAACGGTGATAATACTTAGGCAGATGTTCAGAATCATTTCTACTATCAGTGGCACCTACTGCATTTTCATAAGCGCGATATTTCTGGATTTGATTCGCCAACGTTTCCGTCATCTGAACGAGGTGATAGTTCCTCACGTTTCGGAGTTACCAGTAACCGGATCGAAGGACGAAATCACTGTTTACGATGTGCGCTATCTGCACGGTGTGCTCATCGACAGCGCAGAGTTGATAAATAGGATGTACGGGATAGGCACCTTACTCACCTTCGGATCCTTATTGCTGGATTTCATTTCTCTTATATATATATTCGTAACAAATGACCGGGTCGATGTTACAATAACAATGCTAGACTTACTCTTTCAAACTATTTACCTATTTGCGATGTATCATTTTGCAGCTTACGAGGTACGATAGAAAATTTTATTGTAACATTATTATAAAATTATTTGGATAGAATGTATACACTAATCTAGCTTTTGATGAAGTTTTTGGTTCTGTTTGAAGAGAGAATTTTTTTATGTAGCTTTATGTATTATTGTTCCAGGCGAATCGCGTTGAAAGGCTTGTGCTGAAATATGGATTATCCTTCAAAAATTCCAAATGTCGTATGGTAAGCTTTAAATTTTAGTCACAATCATAAATTATTTAACAAAAATAATTGATTTCAGGATAAAATTGAGATGATGTTGTATTTTTATCATAAGAGATTTACTTTCACGGCAGCAGAATTTTTCGTATTAGATTTAACGATACTTCTTCCGGTAAGCCGACTTATTTGTCATACTATTATATTAATGAAATATAATTCTATTAATCCTCATTATTTCAGATTGCTTCCACGGTATCAACATATATAACTTTAATATTGTATTAACTTAAATCCTGTAATAAGCCAAAAATTTTATCGAAAAATATCGCAAAAACAGAATGTCGTATAAAGACAACATAACAAATAATGTGTGATATAAAAAACAAGATATTAATTTAATGAGGGCAGCAAGGATTCCATTTATTTTATAATAATTCAAATATAAAATCCAATATATCAGTAACGTATTAGACACTACTCCACAGAAAATAGGGAATATTTTTTAGACACTCGCGCAATTTTTAAATCACTGAAACTGGGCGACAAATTATTGCAGATAAAAAATTAAAAAAGCTTGAAGTTTTAAAGTTTGAAATTGAAGTTTTAAAGCTTAAAACGCTTTTCTAATCTTTTGTTTGCAATAATTTTTTGTCGAGTTTTAATGGTTTAAAAATTGCTTGAACGTCTGAAAAATGTTCCCTATTTTTTGTAAAGTAGTGTACATTTACAACAATTCACACGCGTAATTATAACTTTCTCGTACGAATATATGAGAAATAGAAATATATATATAAAAGATAATCAGTACAAATAATATAGAAATAATAAAAAATAATTAAAAAAAAAAAATTAATAGAATTAAAAAAAGCTTGTTTAATACTTACGATTTTCTTTATAATTAACTTCGTAATTAAATAGCGAAGTAAATAATATCTATTAAACTTAAGCAACTTAAATGGATTTAATAAAATATTAAAGTACCAATATAAAAGAGAAAGCAGATAAATAAACATCTTTTTTATGAGCATTTACCACATCATATCCGTTTCCGGATTGGCACGCGCCAGAGGATTTAAACATAAATTTTTGAGAACTTGAACAGCCTCCTCTCCATCGTCTTTCGCATACAGAGCCGTTCGTTTCGCGCTTCCACTTTTAATCAGTTTCCTACCGAAAGTATCCACTAACGAACTCGTTTTAATCCCTTGCCTCCTGGATCTAGTCGTTCTCTTAAAAGAATTCTTCGAGGACAGCGATCCTATTTTTGTCGTAGTACACGACGAGCGACGACGCTTCCTTCGGGATCTTCCACTGCTATTAATAGCATCCAAATGAGCCACTGACTTAATCATCGGTCTTTTATCGCTGCGATCGGTGTTTTTCGCATGGATCATCATGAAATCCGGTTGCGGCGCCTTTCTTTTCGGCTGAGTTCGACGTCGCACGTTCGGGACCATGCGAGGACTCTTATAAATAGGTCCTACGGTTCCCGCAATCCTACGGCTGATCCGCAAAGGATCCAGAAGCTCGTGATCGTGCCAGGAAGCGACAACTGGCAAACCGCAGGCATTGTGCATACCCACCAACGGTACACCGATGGTCCGGTGGCCCTTCACTTCGAAGTGCGATCGATATCGAGGGTTGGGACCGCGCAGGCTGCGTCGGACGTTCTGCTCGTACGCCGATATTTTTTGACCGACGTGACCTTCCGTTAACTGCGGGGTCTCTGCTTTCTCTTTCATCCTCTCGTCCTTTATACCACTCGCTGCTAACGTTCGTGCATTGCCACGCGAAGACTCGTGCGTACATCGCGAGACTCGATGATCATTCGAGCTGATCCTCCTGCGTGAACTCCTGCGGAAATATTCATCCATGTCGGAACCGTCCTGCGATATCTGATCTGCGATATCTATTTTGTTGAAGTATTGATTATCTTCAGCGGTCTTGTTCGGATCGACGTTAGCGCAACGGCAGCCGCGCGGATCGTGCTGATTGTTGCAAAAGTGGCACAATGATTTCTTGCGAGCGTTATTAGCTTCCATTAGCGCGGCGGGACACGTAATCTGCGATGCGGTTCGCTGGTGCAGTCTGGTGACTATAGGAATTCTTTTTCTTGACGAAATGTAAATACTCTTTTCGGGTTCGGAGACTAGGGACTCGAATTGCAACTGAGGCATCATAGATCGTCTTAATGTACCGAAATTATGCGCGATTGACGCCTGGTAATCTTTAATCGGGATGCTTCTAACCGTACCGCCGCCTTGAGGTCTTTTAATTTTAATCAGCTTTTCATTGCTGTTATTTTTATTAACATCATTATTCGCGACCTTCGACGGCGGTGCGCTTTGTGAAAATCTCTTAGCATGATCTTGAAAACGATTATCAATTACAACATCGACAGCTCGTTCCTCGTACATTTGATCGCTTCGTATTAAATCTTCGGAATATTTGGGAGGATTTCGCCATTCTTCGATTATGCTTTTCCCTTTCGACGCTAACACACTACATTTAGTATCATCACACTGGCTTTCTCGTTTATTCGCGTCCTTCATATCGACAACTGTCCGTCCTTCGCTGCCCTCCAGCCATCTTCATGATTTGGCACCAAACGTCGTTCCGGCCGTGTGCATTCTGTTCTCGATTCCTATACCTATTATCGCGACAAATTAGATCACAATGAAGCTGAAGTCATCGTACGTTTTAAAATTAGAATTTAAAACAAAATTTTCTTACTAAAGTCGTGCTCGCTTTCAGTGAATGGGCTTAAAGTTTGCGTGGAGGTAAAAGTCGACGCTTGCGATTTGCTTCTCCTGTTTCTTTCTCGAGAGCAAGCGAAGAATATACTGAAAAGCGCAGTAACTTCGACAACCATGATGCCTAATATAATAGCCAGCATAATCAATGCCTGATCTTGCGTCCACTTCTCGATATGTTCCAGACAGCCCTGGATATAAAACAGTAAAATACAGCTGACAATTGATAATAAATAATAAAGTATTGTGTCATTGAAGCACACTAATAATAATGAAATGTCGCTGTCAGTTACACGCATTTTGATAAATTTGCTCGCAGTTTTTCAATGCGGGCGAGACAAAGGCTATTAACCAGCACTTTCTCTGCTATAGCATTTGCGCACGAGGACATACTGGCTTTATCGCAAACTCTTGAACAAAGCGCGAAAAATCTGAGTACATCGAAGTCGCAAAAGCGAATCAATTGCATCCAAAATAAAAATAAAATTCACGTCTTTATTTTCGAATGTTGCGTTATATTCGCACCAAAAAAATCTATTTTTAATTATTTAAATAAAATGGTTTTCGCCGAGTATAAAATTGACGCTATTCATTACTGAAAGAATAATGGATTGTATTATTCTATACAATAGAATGTTACACGCGTTGATTTCTCATTGCGAACAGAATTAATTTGCGGTCAAACAAGCCTAATCGATTGTCAATGCATTTTTCTAGAAATCTATTCAAAAGCAAATGTGAAATTCAATAATTGACTAAATACGGTAACGCGAAATAGACAGAATATATGAATATCTAGTTCGGGCTAATACGAACATATAACCAGATGGATTATTGAACAATAGCATACCGGCTAGCTCAATCTCTATTACATGACAATAACATTGTAGCGCGTAATATCACTTACGCTTCTATCGATAATGTGTCAATATTCTGTATTTATGACGCGTTTGTCCCAGTTCGGTATGTAGGTCATCGCGTTTATTCTTAATGCAAATCGAAAAGTTTGGTCTCGCACGCGTCGTACGGCGCGTCAAAAGGTAATAACTTCCTCATTATCGCACATACCACTATGTGTCGGGCATATTGATGTTCGGCAGGGTTCAGAGCCTGACAGAAAGTGAGATTGGCAGGTTCGGGGTTGAGGAAGGAGTCCGTCTCATTGGCGTTATTCAGGGTGCAGCAACTGAGAGGCACTACTAATTCTCTTCGGCCGACTTCCTGCAGCCGCCACCACGACGTGCCGTAATTGCTGCTTCCGTTTATGCCGCAACAAGCAAACTGTAATGATCACAATGACAGCGACGTACATTTCTGTTTGTCGTTAATAAATATAACAAACGCATATGCGCGATGAATAATTGTAATTTTTTTTTAATATTAATTCTTGTATTAATTTTTAGATAAATGAGTAATGTTAAACGTACCGTCGTTTGTGCAAGATCAAGGGCCGCTGTGAATTGTTCGCGTCCAGGAACAGCATAACTGCGTTGTAAAGCGCGTATCAGACGCGCTGGTCTCACATCGATCCCCAAGATATGAGGCCAGAAGACAGCGATAACGCACACCGTGCATTCACCAAAGAGGAGCAAGATTATCGTCACGAGATACTGAAAGATGTAGAATCAGAAGAATATTTCTTTTCACAAATTTAACTTCTTAACTTAATAATTGATATTTAATAATATAATATTTTTTTCTGTATGTCTAATTTAGTGTATCAATCAGTATTTAAATAATGTTAAAAAAAATAAAGCGAAATGTGTTAGTTTATAAATTTTGTAATTTTGACTAGAAAAAAGAAGCAAAATGATCATCGTGTTATTTATTCACTCCGCGAACTACGTTCGCTCGTCTACGAGTGGATAATTAGTGTTTTTACGCGGCGCTCGAACGCGCCCTCCTTTTATTTACGCGCATAGCAGATCCGTTTCCGGGCAACGACGCGTGACTGAATCCAAAGTAGGAAATCTGGTTTTAGATAGGCTCGATATATGTATTATGAACACACCGTAGAAAATTCACGCAGATGAAACAGGTCCCGACTAATTAACGCATCTAAACAAGTGTTGTACAACAAACACTAACTTCAATTTAAATAAACAATTTTCATATGTATATTTTACCGACACGTATTGTCAAACTCATTGTTACAAACAGAAATATATAGTGAATCAATGCAAACTTTTAACAATATTCTAGATATAATTTATAATTTTATTTTATGTGGATTTTAAACATTGAATATTATCAAATAAAAAATAATACAAGTAGCGCGTTGTTTTTAGAGCTGAAAATTATTGCACATGTTTTAAAGCATTATTATTATAACCTACACAGCATGCATATCCGGGGGACGTTCAGAAGGCATCCCGGAGATATCGTATCTCTCAAGATATCTTCTCTCAAAGATATCTTCGAGATGTCTTCTGGACGTTTTTTGGATATGCATGCTGTGTGGGAAATTAAAAATATTATGTAGTTCTTACGGAGACTGTGATGCAGCGATTAAAGAGACAAGCCGCCCAGCATCCGAGAAGCCCGGTAATTGCGATGAGAAATCCTAGTGCAACTATAGCGAATGCCAAGTAATAAAAAAGTGGTTGATCAGGATGTATGTCACCAGGTCCTAGTAGACGTGATAATAGAATTCTTTCATTGTCGGCTAATAATAATCCTCCCAATGACATCAATACAAAACCCGACATCTGAAAGAAAAACACAATAGTCTTCCACAGGTTTCATCGATTTGCAAAGTAGTGTATAATAATTATTTCATATGAGACATAATAATATTGATCCACTTTGCACTGAGCATGATACTTTACATACATTTTTGCGTACATTTTCTCGAAAATATCTCTGTTAAACGGGAATGATTAAAAGCAGATTGTAAATTGGGCTACCTGAAAAATAATAATCGATAACTCACCAAAAAAATTATATTCGAGCAACAAACAAAAGCTCGCGATATGGCTAATCTTCTAGGTTTCATTATTACGTATGATGTGTTCGTTTTAATGAGCAATTAACAGAATCTGCAGTTAACTTTTGGTTACATAAAATTTTGGCGATTACACTCTGCGCACTGCATAATAGTTTAACTTGCACGATTGAATCATCTCGTCAGTCAAACGGTTGTTTGTTACTATTCAGTTTTCGAGGTGGACCTGATCGCGTATGTTCGTGGACTGAAAACCCCCTCGTGTGTGGTGGATAGTGTGCCCCGCTCCACGGGGTCCGCAGGCGCGCTTGCGTGCCCTCATGCGCGACCAACTGGACGGAACCGGAAGGAAGTAGAAAGGTGTGGATGTAAAAAAAGGCAGTAGGGGAATGAAAAGTTTGTACACGAGTATTTGTCGATCGTATTGTCACGTGCGATTTGAGTCGATAAAGATTCTAACAGAGAGGGGAAACTTTCAATGGCTAATGATCGCTCTTTCAATACACTTTCGATGGAATAAATATATTTTCACGCACTAAATTTCACTAAAATTTATTTATTATCCGTATAATATATACGTATTACCTTATATTATATCCTCGCATATTTTACCGATCGCCGAGGATTAGAAGTGACAGAAGAACTTCAACTCCGCATCAATCGTCCACGTGAATTGCCTCTTCTAACCCTTTAAACGATTGATCACACTCCGTGATGCAAAATGTATGCAAAATATCTCGAAATTGCTAACAGTGTGATCAATCGCTGAGAGATTAAAAAAAAAGAAAGTTTGCGTGGACTCGAAATCTTCTGTTACCTTTAATCTCTCAGCGATTGATTATACGAGGAACATCTCTAATTTGTAGATAGCTCACGTGGACTTAAAATTTTTCACCCTCAAAACTCAATTACGTCACGCATAATTAACCCACCGACGAATGACAGCTGCATATTGCATGTGAACTCCGCATGTTGGCTTTTCCGATTACAATTTCGCAAGTGTCCTGCAGGACTGTGCAAGACTAAAGACGAAATTAGGCCGAAATGTTTTATTACTTTGTATCTTTTGAAAATAAGATAATGATTGTTTTGCGCTCTGATATCTGTTGATTTTTATAATCTTTGTTCTGTTAATATTTTTTTATTGTTACGCAACTATACGATAGTCGCACGTCATTTTTGCGTGATCTTTTACGATACTAGAAAATAACAAAACACATTCTAATTTAATTATGTATTCGTCATATAAATTTTTTCAAAATTGTATTCCTATAATGCAAAAAAGGTTTGCAGGTTGAGCCCATATATCGCGGTAAAAAGATATTTTATGCGCATTATTGTAAGTGTGCACGAAGCCTATCTCCTCTTGTCTACATTAATTCAGCCACCACTCCAAGCACTTCCCGTTAAATGGAATAGCCACAACCCAGTACGTAAAAATTCTGGCTTACTACTTGCAGGTACAAAACAAAATCGTAAAACATGTTTCGTAGTAAAATTAGGTTAATGATAAGGAATAATGAGAAATAAAAATGAGATAATCGAAATAATTAATATATAACTATAAATAATACTATAGCTACCATTATAAAATACAGCAGGTGAATAAAACACAATGTGAAATTGATAAAAATATATATTATTAAAATTGAATTTTATAAAAAATTCATGTAAGCTTATATAATTTGCTATATCGTAATTTATGTAAATACATGATGCAATACATTTATCATAATTCATGTAAATACTAGAAATCTAGTATACTTTTATGAGATCCACTCGTGCATCCAATGGTGGGTGCTATTGCTTCATCTTGCTCACGTTGTGCTGTGTCCTCGAATTCCGGTGGTAAATGTAGAACCTGACAACAAATAATTATCAAAATTCATACCAATTCATACTAATGAAACAGAAATATGAAAAGTAAAGAAAATTATGAAATCAACTAACTTCTATGATGAATTTTTTACGACGTAATTTAAATGCTAAATCTCTGAATTCTAGACAGTGAGGTGTCAAGGTATTTAAAGCGGGTAATTTCTTGATATGCAAAAGACCATGATAATCTTTGAATAACGGATTGGTTTCCTTCGCAGATCCCGCAAATGATTCTAATCTGATTGCTATGTCTGATATATGTTCAATTCTCTCAACAAAAGCATCCTGGAAAATATGTAAGTTGTTAATAACACATATAAGTTGGCAAATGTAACAGAAATATATTCTCATAACTTACAGTGTTGTCGAAATTATTTACTGGAGTAGTTATTATGCCGACCGCGTATGAATTCCTTAGAAGTGCTCGAAAGCAGTATAAAAATTTTAATAAATCATGATTTGACGATGTTTCTGTGTCAGAAAGCCATAATCTTGATCCCAAACAGTGAATAGCGATTCTTAAAATCCTTTTCTTGTCTGGCGTATCAGAAATAAAATATTGACCATCACGTAAAATTTCTTGAATGGTACGTAATAAGTCAGTGTAAGCAGTATTTTCAAATATATTGTTCTGCTCCTGCAGATTACTTTCATGCCACTGTTTAATATCTGCGTGTTCCAAAAGATCCGGTTGCATTGATTTTGTAAGATCATAGAAATGACCAAATGTATGATCTTCTGCGGGAGATGAATCCACCAATTTCATATTCTGATATCTCCAAGCAATTTTCATTTGTTCATTTCCATTATCTACAGTTTTTGTATGGCATTCTGAGTCGTTTATAACTGCAGGCAATTCAGACATAAATTGAGATGGTTGATGATCTTGTGATGCTATTAATATAGGCTGAGAGGTAACTACTCCTTCTGCCATGAAATATTTGAATATAATTTTAGCATATAATCCATACTTATCTTCTTCTGTAAGCATAAATATTTTATTAATTATATTTGTGCAACTTATATAACACAGAATGAAAAATTTGACGCTCAAACTGCTAGGGATAATAGAAGAGACCAAAACAAATGTTTTTTGTTAAACAACCATGGATCTAAAATTGGCATGGAGCAACAAGTCAACCTGCTCAGATAATTCATAAGAGATTGTTGAAGATTGTTAGGTGTGATTGGGGATGAAACAATATTACATTTTGCATTAATTTATTATGAATTTAACTACAGCAGAGACTGAAACAAATATTTTATGTTACATTATTATGGATCTGAAATATCTTATGAATTATTTGAGCAGGTTGACTAGTCACTCCATGCCAGTTTCAAACCCAGATGGTTGTTTAACAAAAAAACATTTGTTTTGATCTCTTCTGTTACCCCCAGCAGTTTGGGTATCGAATTTTTCAACACCCAATGTATAACATTATTTAGAGAACCAATTTTAGAATACATACCAATTAGAAATATTGAACCAATAGGTAAACCTCCACCTAAAAAATGATAAATATTTTTAAAATCTAGGAAAATTGTAATTCTAAAAAAATATAACATGTGCACACTAACCTATTATATTGTCTAAAGCAGGTATTCCTGTTGAGATAAGCAACTGTGCATTTTTTACAGACGGTTTTGTGCCTGGTATTGTTGGAAATTTAGATTTAGTTTTTGTCGCGTTTGAAGCCATTTTAAATATTATTGAGTGTAATGTTTAATTATCATTTGTACACCCAAATATAAAACTACTTATAAAATTAACAAAATGATTGCCACTTTTATAATAGCAGAAATGTTTTCTAAATTAATTTTTATTCGGCACGTATTCACAGTGAATATATATAATAATTATTATAATAAATTATCGTATTCGTTAAATAATGAACTGTTTATGTTTTAGGTTAGATTAACCTAAAATATGGAATGTTGTGATCTTCCAACTGCAATACCATTCGAACAGCATCTCATCAGTAGTATCAGCGATCGAAGCGCCTATATTTTATGTCGCGCTTATAAAACTGATAAAATCATTTAAATTGTTCATTGTTTGACAACAAGAGTGTGAGTTCGAAAGTGTAACTTCAATTAATTCGTTTCGTACTCAGACATTGCTGGCCAAGAATCATATTGAATGGTATAATTCGCTATACATTAACTCATTCTAAACTTTGAATGACAATCTTGTTTAAGAAACATAACCTGATTTATTATGAATTTGTTTAACAAATAACGCTTTTGCACAATGGTTTTATTTTATCCATATTTTGACAGTATTCTACATTTTGTCTTTATATGATTATAATGAACTGTTGTTTACTCATGAGCCATAACCTTGCTGGCAGTCTTGACTGAAAATTTAATGTTAACCGTTATTTCGATAAAAATATAGTCTTGTATGTCACTTTGGAAAACAAGCACAAAAAATATATATATAATTCTTATTTAAAATAGGTAAATTCAGAACTAATGCCATTTATCACTATCGACTCTTACGTTGCAAAGTAGATCTTTTGTGATGAATTCAACTTGGTCTTACATCCCTTGATGAAATCAGGGAATACACCAGGCAGTAGTTACACAACGTGGCAATTTAATTTTAAATTTAATTTACAGTAAGTTTGTATTATTAACTTTTGTACTTAATTGGTCACATACTTTTTAGAAACATTAAGTTGTTAAAATAATTATATGTAACATTCAGAATTTTATTACCTTTTTTTTAGCCCTTTTTGTAATAAGACATGTACGTTTTATTGTTGCTAGTGAAGACATGTATGCACAGAATAGTATAGACATGCTACAAAATAGTGATATACAGTTCAAGAAACATGGAGAGGAAGGCATCGACCCTTTAAAGTTTGCAGAACTATTGATGACATCGGGAATTATTCTTGTTGATGGCATAAAATGGTTGTCATTTCATTCTGGTTACGACTTTGATTATTTACTGAAACTCACTGATCAAAAATTGCCAGGAAGAAAGTGAATTTTTCAAATTCCTTAGGAAATACTTTCCAACAATATATGATGTAAAAGTAAGTACAATCACGTAAGAAAAAATAAAACTAATTAGAAATATATGAGATTTTATAATTTATATTACTTTATACACAGTACCTCATAAAATCATGCAAGACACATGTTACAAAATAGTAGTATATAGTTCAAGAGACATGAAGGCATCGATTTAGAGTTTGCAGAGCTATTGACATTGGAAATTATTCTTCGGAAATTTCATAGATGACATATCGGAGAAACACAACAAATTTAAATGTTACAAGATGGGTTTGAAAACATGCTTGTTATTTCTTCTCGCTGCCTTCAGCATACTCTCTCTAATACATGCGACAACAGCAAACCCACGAAATAAAATAATCATTTACAAACGTAAGTGCTTTTTTCACATTAAACACAGTAATCTTTTACATTTGTTTTTACAATATATTTGACATAAATTGTAAAATTTGAATTATTTAAAATGTACATATTTTAATTACAATTTTTATCTATTATTTATAAGGATTGTTAGGTTTTTTATTATACTTAATTTGATGTGTATTATATCATTTTTACAGCATGGTGGTGCGATTATGATTATGACATGGGTCCTTGCACTCACTTTCAAGCGAAATATTATTACGACAAAGTAAAAAATGAATGTAGAATGTTTGTGTGGGGAGGTTGTAATGGGAATGCTAACAAATTCGATGACGAACGCTTGTGCCGAAAAGTTTGCCTTCTGCCGAAAAATGCACCTCCAAACGGTTTTTAAATGAAAATGTAAGACTATGAATTTCTGATCAGATTCTCTTACAAATTTTTAATTTTTATAAGAACTAACTATAACAAAATTAAATTATCCCTTGAAATATATATGCAACAGAAACTAAATATTTTTTGTTTTATTTTTTTTATTATATGTTATTTATTTTACCACATATTGAATATATAATACTATGTACAATAAGTTAATAACATCAGAACAGAATAATCAATGTTTCTTATTATAGTGATGTAATTTTTAAAATATATCCTATTCATTTTATATAAATTGGGCACAGTTAGCGTTCCAAGATTTATAGACGAAATTAGATGTAAAAACTGCGAAATTTAATTCGTTCATTCGTTCATCATTTTAATCCGTTCAAAGCAAACTATAAAGTTCGGTCTTAAAGTTGAAACAATACTTATAAATAAAATAAATGATTCTTATTTCGGGATTTGCGAAATTATTCAAAAAGAAAATAATACGAAATGTATAATATCACTGCGATATTATTGAATTATTGAACAATATATGTTTACTTTATGATGAGTGTACGGTTCGGAATATATTCGCAATTTATCAGCCACCTTATTAGCAGACAATGCGCAGGCTCTGTGTACGGTTATAAAGGGAAGATTTCGGAATCGACGAAGAATCGATCGCGATCCTCCATGCTGTTGTTCTTTGGCCAACTACAGTAACAGACGTCTCTTGAACTCGCGATTTCCTTATGCATATACGATTAGGTGAGGAATTTAACCATATTGAACTCGATTCTTCTTGGGAAGAGAAATCTATTGGAACTTGGTAAGTGACCTTCACTTTTATCATAACATTAAATTTACTTTCACTATTTAGAGTTGAAAAATTGTTTAAACGATTCTTATTTTACCATTTTTCCAGCAACTTTCTTTATTATATGCATTTTTGAGAAAAGTAAAACAGATGAGATCGAGAGAATTTATTTTAATAAATATTACATTTCCAGCAAGGTTCGATTTAATGGGTGATAAATTTTATAAGCAAATCTTATGCATTAACGATTTCTTTCGTCAAAGTGCAGTGTTTAAAACTCATACACGCAATCGTAATTATAACGCAAAAGTTTTTCATACTATGATTAACTCATTTTAATCGTGACGGGACCAAATTATGTAAAATTTTGCGACGCTTTTTTGCATAGTAAACGTATCAAAGGAATAATCGTTATTATTTTACAATGTTATTCACATTTTTTCTATAAAGCTATATTTCTTTTTCTTTTATTATATGCATGCATGTGATACATAATGAACAGTGCTGATTTTACGATTTAAAATTATTGTAAAGAACAGATAAATTATATTATCTATTGAAACAACTATAAATTTGTGTACATAATCGTGCACATAAATCAGATTAGATTTTATGATTTACTTGTTTACACATTAATCTTTTATATATGATGATATGACCACATTAAATTTATGGAATTTTAGATCAGTATAGTAATTATTGATAATAAAATTTTCAGAGAAGGAGATATTATATTGGTCAAACATAACTGCTAGAAATTCAATCAAGACAACGCGTAAGAAGATGGGTGCCAAAACATACTTGTTATTCGTACTTGTTATCTTCAGCATGTTGACACAGAAGTTATTAGCCCAACTCTTACCAGATCGTAAGTATTTTATTCTCTGACATTGAACACGCACAGTAATTTTTTATTATATTTGCTATTATTATACTTTTCATATAATTTGGAGAACTCAAATCGTTATATATATAATAATTATTTATTGCATATATTTAATTATCATAAATTAGTAAGTCGCAAAAATATGAAGTTGTCAATTTAATTTTACCGTAATGATAGAATAGATATTTTACTTTATATAAATTGATATGTATTTTTCTATAGTTTACTGCATAAGTTGTGATTTAAGTTTCTGCAATGTATATCTTTTTTACAGTTTGTCTCAAGGATATTGATCTTGGTGATTGCACCCATGAGTACCCAAGATGGTGGTTTAATAAAACTTCGGGAAATTGTGAAACTTTTCATTATAGTGGTTGCGGAGGAAATGACAATAATTTTATAGAATATGGAGATTGCTGTAATACTTGTAAATATGTAACAACCACAGCTGAGCCTTGCTTATGGAATATGTGCAATGTTAATTATTAAATTTTTTTAATGTTTGAGAGTTTTTCATATTTTGATATGTAAATTGCATTTGTAATAGTTTAGTATTGAATTGAAATAGAAATACTAAATGAAAGACTGTGAAGTCTTTATAAAATACTTATAAAAGTTTTATTTTTACAATAAATGACTGTAATAAAATGAAATGTACAGATATATGTATAAAATGTATAAGAATATATATGTATATATGAATAAGAACTTCTTAATTTATTATTTTTTATCTTTTTCGCTACATTGAACATATAATGCTACGTACAATAATTTAATAACATTAAAGCATGTAATAATTTAACATTATAAAACATAATCAGTGTTCATTGAAATATTTTTTTGATTTAAAAAATATCATATGAATTTGCCATAATTGTGCTAAATTATTATCAGAATTATTACAAAAAACATGCGATAGAAGTGTTGTATTCTTTTTTTATATTTAGATATTTAATATATTGTAAAAGTTTGATGTGCTTTTTAAATATGTAAGGTAAATAGAAAACAATTTTAAATAAGAATAAAATTTTAGATTTTCCTAACTTTATTTATTATTTATGAGTAGATAAATCTTATAATAACTTGATGTTAAGTAAATTGTATTTTTATGATGTCAAAAAGATCTACACGCGGCGCAATACACCTGTCATCAGTCGTGCTGGCAAAGAATAACACATGTATTCTGTGGATGAGCTGTAGAATGTAGAGTGCAACGAGATATTACTTTACCTTATAATTTTTCTTGTATCTTTTTATAATAATATTTATAATTGTTCGTGCAATTTGATCAAATATTTTATAGCCTTTCTATCTACTATGCTTTTATTATTTAATAATTTAGTGAAAATTATTTTAATAAGTTTTTATCACCAACATGGTTGAACAATATGAAATAATACAATTAAATAATGACAGGTAGCAGTACTTAGAACGCCAAACAAGATGATTGAAAATCACGATTCCTTCTCACTCAGAAATTCACTCTCCGCGCCTATAGTCCTGGCTTATACTCCGTCCTTCAGATTCGAACAGAATACCATCAGGATTGCCACTTGCAGCTTCTACTTTCACCGGATGAGGGCGCCACATTGGACCGTCATCGGCGGTCGAGATTTATTGCAGTTTGTTGTATTGTCACCAGAGTGCGACTGTGTTACGGCGGCAGTAATTATGGTTTACCACCGTTTGAACGATACATGCTACCGTTCAACCTACGCGCAGTTCTGTTAATGGCATCGCGCGTTAGCTAGCAACAATCCTGAGCGCGGTGTTATGCGGCTCCGTTTCGTCGCCGGGTGCGACGCGCGCGAGCATCCGTGTGACCGAAACAGAAGAACGGAAGAAAGTCATCGCGACGACGCCTCAGCGTAGTAACAGAGAGCGCGCGCGCTTGCGTGTATGCGATACTCCAAAAGTAAGGTTATGCAACTGTTAGTACGAACGCTCGCGCGGCGCGTTTGATACCAACGCTCAATGATATGTCATTCATCGCAACGATCGTGTGGGTCGGCTTGTGCGTGCGCCAGTAAACGAACATCCGTGTGCGACAAACTATATACGTGGAGCTGTGTGTGCACAATTGTGTTGTGTGAAAAACATTTCACATGAATCGACCGGCCAATTTTTTAAATTGCCAACGATACTTCGCAACAATGGCACGAAAATGACTTTGACGAACTTCAAAATATTTACCGCAAGCGAGTGTATTGACTTTTGCTCCAAAACATTGAGAATCGATTTCGAAGCGCTCGATCTTGAAAGGGCAAAGTGAGAGCGTATGCATTCAAATTGAAACGAATTGTGCGAAGCTAACTTCAATGAATCGAAGTATGTAGAAAAGACATTGATAGAGGAAATTGTATAAGGAGAAATATCGCAAACGCTCGAAGAAGAGGAAGACAGACATAGAGGTAAGCTCAAAAAACATAAAAAATTTGACTCGTCTCGCGCGCACATTAGACTTGAAATTACGACTCGCGGCGAATGCGCGAAGAAGTAACTCGGCCGAACATTGCAACTACTCGTTCGTGTTTTTCTCCCCGCTACTGTCCCCTAGTGCCGTCTCCTTCCCTCCCTGCCTCGCTCGCTTTCTCTCTCCTTCGCAAGCCTTCTCCTCCCCCCCCCAACCACCTCCTTCATCATCATATATTTCCTTCTCGTTCTGTCCGGTGGGCGGCGTCTCAGTTCCGCGCAACGGTGCCGTTTGACGACCTCCCGCTCCCACCCGCTCTCTTTTCTTCTCTTTCTCCGCGGCAGCACGCTGCCCTCGCTCAACTACCTGTTGTGACGTCCAGCGTACTCGACGCACCGGGCAAATTCGCGGTAAATACGTAGCGTCGTGCCGGCGTTTATTTAGTAGGTTTCTTCCGATTAACGAACGATCGTTGAACGCGAGACGCGGTATACGCGTTGATCGAAGAGATATTATATCGAACGCGTCTTGCGCGCTGTCCAGAAAGTTTTCGACAACGAAACTCGCCGCGTCGCAACGACTGCCACGGTGAAGGAGATCTCGATTGTGAAGCCGCGAAAGGCGGCTTGTGTCGCGGGCTCTGCTCCCCCTCCACGACGGAGACTAGCACGAGGAAGCGAGAGAGAGAGAGGAGCGAAAGAGGGAGAAAGAGAGTAAGCAGGACAGCACGCGCGTACGCGAGATGGAGAGAGAAGGAGTCGACGAGAGAAAGGACTCAGGCGGGCTCCTATCAAGAAGTTAGTCGCGCGCGGCGAACCTTCCGTCCCACCATCCGAATGTAGCGCCGAACATAGCTGTGAATGCAGCAGCTGCCTGTCGAGCGATGGCGGCGCGATAATCGCAATCGTGTAGTTTCGAAATATATCGAAGAAAGAGAAACAGGAGTTTGGAGAGCGGGACGACGACGTGCGAAACGACGTGCGCACCATCGCGCGCGGTCACGTGGATCGCGAACAAAAGGCGGAACGCGTCGCATTCATTGACGAGTCGTCGCGTCGACGCCGCGCGCCGGTGGCATCGTGTTATGTAGCGGGAGTTCGCGCGTTCCGCCGTTTGCCCGAGTATTTGCATCGCGTGTGTATAAACAGACTCTACCGTAACGACATCATAATATAAGGTGATTAAGGGCAATCTCATGTGTTTTCAGCATCGCAACAAGTACATCGTTCTCGAAGAAGAGCGTCTACAGTTGCGAGAGAAGGTGCGAGAGACGTTTTCGCTGCGAAAGTATACTTAAAGCATCGAGGCAAGTGCGTATCCCCTTCCCCCCCCCCACCTCCCCGCCGTCGCATCGTTTGTGAAACAAGTGTCTGAAACCGCGAGAGACAGAACATCGATCTTGACCGCGGTCAAGTCCGGCCCCCGGGGGTCCCGCGAGCGCGGCCAGATGCTTTCTTGTCGGAAGTCGGATGTGATCATCGGCAGACCAACGGGGTGGATGCGGAGGATGCTCGACGCGCAGCTAGCGGCGAAGTGGCCGGAGGAAGACGTGGTCGCGCGGCGAACAGCGCGCGTAAACATCAACCACCTCGGTGGCAATCATTAAGAACTGGCTTATCCTGCGGTGGATTTAGGGGGCTGTATGGAGGCTGGGGGGCTCCTGCCCCGTCAGCCCCCGCAAGGCCCCCCGGCGTCGCCCCCGGTAACATCAACGTGTGCGCGGGCCAGGGTCCGAACGGGCACGCCGGAAACGTCCTTGGTCAATCAGCGGCCGCCCTCCACGATTTGAACGCGGCCGGTCAGCTGGGCTTAGCCGGCCAGCAACAGCTACACCAACTGCAGCAGCAGCATCAACAACATCAAGCGCAGCAGCAGCAACAACAACAACAGCAAATGGGCCAGGCACCCGGCATGGGTGAGGTTGTCACCCCGAAGAGGCAGGCGGTCGTGGACCGTCTGCGACGCAGGATCGAAGGTTACCGACGCAGGCAGATCGACTGCATCCCTAGATTCGATCAGAGCTTCAACGGATTGTGCGAGCAGAATATACAGGACACCCTCGTGCTGAAGCAACGTTTTCTCGAGAACAAGGCGAAGCGGCAGGCCAAGAAGACGGACAAGAAGCAGAACGATCCGGTCGGCCTCTCCAACGTTCACATGGTGAGTCTTCGATCTCTTTTATTCTTACATTATCTTATCCTCGTCATTTTATCGCATTTGTCTCGCCAAGCGGGCGTAGGCGCACCTACGCCGCTGTGAAAATTCGAACTTGTTATAAAGTCAATGGCTCTCTTTCCTTTCCCACCTCTCGTGGAGGTGGAAGCACGCCTGAGTAACGCTCCCCTCGTGTTTCGCGGCGAACGAAAAGCGCGGTATAAAATCAACCTGATGTAGCTACTGTAGTTGAGGTGACTCGGAAAACAAGCCTCTTAAGAAATAACGATCGATCCATAATGAAAAGAGTAGTCTTTATTTTGAATATCTTTACTCGTTATTTGAATTCAGGAGCATTATAAAAGTAACACTCGAGATATCAAAGTATCCGAATATTGATAACAGTCCAAATCGAATCGGTAGTTTACGCGAAAATGCGAATGCTCACCAGATCGGAAGATGACTGCTAAAGATAAGCAGTTGTGTGAGATTAGCTCACTTTATATATATTTTTTCACGCAGCGATATTCTTTGAGAAATCTATCTATAAAAAATTGCTTTGTTTTACTGCAACACAACATATAATTATAAACCAGAAATAGTTTATAAATAGCCAAGTTCCTTGTATAATTTTTATTAATAAAGTCAAGATAAATTTTTATTTCAAGTACGAAGTATCGAGACTGGTTATTTTAAATAGAATTTTATTTTCAAGGAAATAATTGTTGGTTCAACAAATATGACTGAATTAGAAAGGACTTTTTTAAAACTTTATTAGGAATAGAATAAGAGAGACTTGAGAATTTTTTTTTATTTAGCTGTGCCAATTAATCGCGCTTCTATTGTGCTTGTCGA